TCTGTCCCTGATGGGACTTGCTTGGGTTTCCTGTACCCAAGGGTTCAACTCCCTTGGCACAAGGGCTGGTGGTGTTCAGGAATGATTGATATTAGACAGGTGGGTAGCTAAGCAGAATGGAGCTTACTGGAAAGATGTGGGAGGCTCTCAGAAGGAGGGCCTGGCACAGTGAAGGCAGAGAAGTAAGGAAATGCGGGGCTTGAGTGAGCCAAGAGTGCTGGCAGGCAGGAAACCCACACTTGAGGTGGAACCCTGCTGTGCTCCTCTGCTCCTCTTGGGCTGAGGAAGGGCAAAACTGTCTGCAGTAGGATATCTGCCAGCTAAGGAAGTCGTGCCGTTTCCCCCCTGCCCTCTACCTACAGAAGGGTGGAGCCGCGAAGGCGGCCGTGCCTGTCACTTGTCAGCAGTGACCTGGGCTGAATCTCGTCCTGCAGGGACTGTGAGGGGAAAAAGTGGCCCCAGCATGGATGGCTGGGTCTGACTTGATCACAAACACATGTGCCGGGGGCTGTTGGGTCAGGGAGACAATTTGGGTTTGTTTCTTTCTGTTTTTTCGAGACAGGTTTCTCTGTATCGCTTTGGAGGCTGTCCTGGAACTCACTCTGTAGACCAGGCTGGTCTCGAACTCACAGAGATCCAGCCTGCCTCTGCCTCCCGAGTGCTGGGATTAAAGACGTGCACAACCGTTGCCCGGCCAGGGAGACAATTTGGGCCCGGCCCACGTGAGGCCTTCGATTTGATGTTGTACTTCTTTATGGGACAAACTGGGCCCTCGGAGTGTCTGCAACTGGCCCTCACCAGCTTGAGGGAGCCCACTGCTAACTTCTTCAGAACCTTTCAGAATGGCCGAGGTCATGTTGGCAGTTTGAAACTGGCCCTGAAGGGAGCGTTTATACCACTGAAACTGGCGAATGCCGTATGTCAAGCCTGTTTGTTCTTCTTTCTCAGATAGCTATTGAACCAGCACACACACTGCCACCTGCATTTCCAGAACACACTCTGCTTGGTCTTTCTTATTGTATTACTTTTTAATCACTATTAGATTGTATCTTTAGCTGTGAGATTCATCTGTAGCTGTTCTGTGTTCTTTTTTAAGAACAAAATTTATATTTATCTCTTTGCGCACTGGGAGGCATACAACATGGCATATACAGGGGAGGTCAGAGGATAACCTCGAGGAGTAGATTCTCTCTTCCTACCGTGTGGATTCTAGAGGTGGGACTCAGGTTTACATACTGGGCTGGCATCCCTGTGGGGGTTTTGTTCTTTAACCGAGAGTAATACATTCTTTGCTTCCAACCCACTCCCCTCCAAAACCATGTCGGTGGGAATCTTTCTACGTGGTCTAGATTGGTCTCAGAGTGTCTGTGTAGCTGACACTGGCCTCAAACTCCTGACCCTTCTGCCCCAGTCTCCCAAGTGTAGGATTAGAGCGCCACTTTGCCTGGGATTTGTCAGCTTCGTTTCTCCTTCTCTTCCTCACTGCGTAACTGGAGATAACCTGGAGTGCCTCAGCCTCCCGAGGGTAGGCTTTATTTTAGTACAGCTTACTTTCCATCTCTCATTCTCCACCATCTAGGAGTTGTTTTATTGGTTTTTTGTTTTGTTTTGTTTTGTTTTGTTTTTTGAGACAGGGTTTCTCTGTGGCTTTGGAGACTGTCCTGGAACTAGCTCTTGTAGACCAGGCTGGTCTCAAACTCACAGAGATCCGCCTGCCTCTGCCTCCTGAGTGCTGGGATTAAAGGCGTGCGCCACCACCACTCGGCTGTTTTATTGTATTTTAAGGTAGCATGCCACCATTTAGCACTGGCTGGACTGGAACTTGTTATGTAGTTCAGGCTGGTCTTGAGTTTGTAGCTACCTTCCTGTCTGTCTGCTGGGTGCTGAGGTTGCAAGCATGGCCCCCTTATTCAGGAAGTATTTTAAAACACAGATCCTAAGCTATGCACCTAACCAATAGTAAGAACCTTTGAAGGTGAAACCCACATCTAAGTTTTTTTAAGATTTACTTTTATTTTATGTGTCTAGTATTTTGTCTGCATGTGCAACTGTGTATCACATATGTGTAGTGACATAAGAAAGCATTAGATCCTCTGGAACTGGAGTTACAGATCTTGTGAGCTGCCGTGTGGGTGCTGGGACTTGAACCTAGTTCCTCTGGAAGAGCAGCCAATGTTCTTAACCACTGAGCCATCTCTCTAGCCAGGCAGATCTCTGAGTTCAAGGCCAGCCTGGTCTACAGAGCAAGTTCCAGGACAGCCAGGGCTATACATGTGGTAGTGGCACACGCCTTTAATTCCAGGACTCAGAAGGCAGAGGCAGGTGAATGTCTGTGAGTTTGAGGCCAGCTTGGTCTACAGAGTGAGTTCCAAGACAGCCAGGGAAACACTGTCAAAAAAAATCATGATACAGTCCAGAGTTTCTCAAATATTAACATGTACAGGAATCACTTACATATCACATTATATTATCAAGTGATTATAACATATCACTTATATAATCACTTGATATACAGAGTCTACTTTGACATGTCTGGCCAGGCCTTGAGACTGCTTTTCCAGCAAGCTCTCAGGGATGTCAGTGCTGCCAGCCATGGCTCACACATTTGTAGCAGGAATATGAGAAACATGGCAATTTTCTGGGTTTTCAAGATTACGTGGAATCCAGTGATGCAGCCATTTTGCCCTGCAGTGTTTTCAATACCAAATCTCATTACTTTTCAATCAGTTCTGTTGTCTGTTTAAACTTCCAGGATAAGCTAGGCCTGGTGGTCTAGGGCAATCACCCATTCCTGGGAGGCAAGGAAAGAGGATCATGAGTTGCTTGCCCGGGCTACACGGGGAGTTTAAGGTCAGCCTGGACGACTTAGTGAGATGCTGTCTCCAGTCCCCCAGCATACGTAAGGAAAAAGAACTCAGGTGGACTGTGGATGTAGCTCAGGGGTAGACTGCCTACCCAGCATGCATGACGCCTGGCCTTGGATCCCAGCACTGAGAAGAACAGTTGCTGGAAGGGAATCTCAGAAAGTTGCAGCGATGGACTCCTGGAGACAACTGTAGAGCTAACCATTTGTTTGGGTTGGAGAGGTGTGGGGTTTTTGTTTGTTTGTTTGTTTTGTCATTGTTGTTGTTTTGGTTTTTGAGACTAGGCCTTTCTATGTGGCCCATATTGGCCTCAACTTTGTGGTGATCCTCCCAAGTCCTGGTATCACTGGACTTGGAGTGCGCTGCTGTGACTAGCTCGTTTTTTAAAAATGTATATGTCACCAGGCGTTGGTAGCACACACCTTTAATCCCAGCACTCGGGAGGCAGAGGCAGGCGGGTCTTTGTAAGTTCAAGGCCAGCCTGGTCTACAAAGTGAGTTCCAGGACGGCCTCCAAAACAATACAAAGAAACCCTGTCTCGAAAAAAAACCAAAAAACAACAAAAAAAATGTATGTGTGTATGTGTATCCTTATGAGTCTATGTACCATACCCATGCAGAGGCCAGAAAAGGTCATCCACCTGCCTCCGCCCCCCAAGTGCTGGGACTGGGTATGTGCCACCACCCAGCCGTTCGGCCGTTTGAAAAGACAGGTTTTGCTCTGAAGCCTGTGCTGTCCTGGAACTCACTGTGTGGCCTCAGATGTGTCCAATCTTCGTGGCCTTCGTGCTGAGATCTCCGGTGTGTGCCATTAGATCTGTGCAGAAACTAAGGTCCGAAGATGCTCCTGAGTGACTTCTGTCTTCCGCACATCTACAATTCTGCAGCTCAGGCAGTTGCTCTGACATACATGTCACATGTCCCGGCAGTCAGATGACTTTTGTGATGCCCAGGGTATTCCTCCATGACCCCTAGGGGAAATGATTTCATTAAGGAACCAAGTCTGGTGGTTAGAAAGATGACTCACTGATTAAGAACCCTTCCTACCCCTGTGCAAGGCCAGAGTCCCCATCCTAAGTCAGATAGCTCACAACGGCTTGTCATTTCAGCTCCGGGAGATCAGATGCTTCGGGCCTTTGAGGGCAACTGTGGTCACATACACATGACGCATACACAGAGGTAAACACACACATGCACACATTGCTAAAATATAAGACTCTAAAAACAAACAGAAGGGAGGGAAGGAAGGAAGGAAGGAAGGAAGGAAGGAAGGAAGGAAGGAAGGAAGGAAGGAAGGAAGGAACCAAGCCAGGCACTGTGGTATAATCCTATCCCTTGGGAAGCAGAGACAGGAGGATCAGTAGTTCAAGGTCATCCTCAGATAAATATGGAGTTGGAGGCCAGCCTGGACTGCACAAGACCTTGTTTCAAGGAACCAGTGGGAAACAGGGCTGAGGAGCCCCGGATGTTGTTACTGGGTGGAGGTGGACGGGAGGAAACACGTTACCCAAAAGTCAAGTTTTGGAATTGGGACATGTCCCTCTGAGAATTATTACTGGAGTCTCAGGAGTGCCCCTTTCTCTAGCTTCCCAGAAAAACACCCCAGCCCAGAGGAGGTGGTCCACCCCTGGCTTGGGAGAGTGGAGGGTAGGAGCCGAGATGATTTTTGCAGGAGGTCTCTGTGGAAACAGCTGGCCTAGAAACCATAGGCTCCTGGCTCCCTCCTAGGCTAGTCGCCCGGACTGTCATGGCACCACACTTGAGATGGGGTGGCTGGAACAGCAGAAGGCTGCTTTCTTAGTTTTGGGGACTTCAGGACTGCTATGGGGCAGCTTTGTTCTCTCCAGGGGCCTGACTCCTGGCTGTACCCAGGGTCACGTGCTCACCGGGCCCTTAACAGCCCTTTGTCTGTGCACATGCTTCCTGGTGCTCTTCTTCTGAAGGCTCCAGTCTTATTGGATTAGGCCTCCAGACTTCAGACCTCACTTAATTACCTCCGAGCACAGTCACCGTGGAGTTAGGGCTGCACAGTAGCAATTTAAGGAGGATACATTCAGTTCACAACAGAGCCAAGTGGATCATTGCAGCCCTGAGAATAAACAGAGGCCTGACCCGTAAATCCTGGTCTGGAGTGTGCTGTGTCACTGCCAAGCTCCCATTCCTAGTTCATCGTTCTGTTCACCTGTTACTCAAAGCCATCTCAACAGTCTCTTCACAGAGTTCTTTAAAGTCAAGTGCTCCGAAGAGGCTGCGTCCACTAGAGAACCTGACTGGTGAAATCCTCGGGACTGTGGAGAGATGTAATACAGCAAATCCAGAGCTGCAGGTGCCTTGGACTCTGCTAGGCCCTTCCAACACTCATTATCATCAGCCTTTGGATCTCACCTAACATCCTTGTGACCATCAGAGAGAAAGAGAGAGAGAGAGAGAGAGAGAGAGAGAGAGAGAGAGAGAGAGAGAGAGAGCGCAGATATGTCTGGAGCCCATCTAACTGGTGATTTCATTGATCATTTGGGAGACACACATATAACATGTCTTTGTTTTGTTCTCTAACTATGAGGGTTCATGTCAGTTCTTCCATGGTGGAGCTTGTCATTCAGATTAACTTGAATCCATGCTCCTTGCCAGTGGTTCTCAACCTGTGGGTCATGATCCCTTGACCCCTACAGGAGTCACATATTAGATATCCAGCAAATCAGATTTGCATTATGATTCATAACTAGCAAAATTACAGTTATGAAGAAGTATCAACAAAACAATTGTATGGTTGGGGGGGCATTTCACCGCAACGTGAAGAACTTTATTAAAGTGTCCTAGCATGAGGAAGGTTGAGAACACTGTCTTAGGTCAAGGCCAGTAATATTTGACCAGAATAAATTCTTTTTTTTTTTTCCGGTTTTTCGAGACAGGGTTTCTCTGTGGCTTTGGAGGCTGTCCTGGAACTCACTTTGTAGACTCACAGAGATCCACCTGCCTCTGCCTCCCAAGTGCTGGGATTAAGGCGTGCACCACCAACGCCCGGCCAATAAATTCTTTTCTTATCTCTGTTAAAGCTGTCAGGTGCAGCCGGGCATTGGTGGCACATGCCTTTAATCCCAGCACTCGGGAGGCAGAGACAGGAGGATCTCTGTGAGTTCGAGGCCAGCCTGGTCTACAGAGCAAGTTCCAGGACAGCCTCCAAAGCCACAGAGAAACCCTGTCTGGAAAAAAACAAAACAAACAAACAAAGCTGCCAGGTGCTGTGTCAGTGCCAAGGACATGGGTATTGATTTTAGGTGCTGACTTCAATACAGTGTGACAGAGGCGTGGTCACAGTTGGGCACAGGCAGTGAGGAGGGGGCTCCCAGTCAGACTCATGGTAAGATATATTATAGATGCAGGCATGGAAGGGGGCTTCCTAGAAAGGGGTGACACTGGAGCCCGGTCCTAGGTGGGGTCCTGCAATTAGTCAGTAGAAGACTGTTTTGGGATCTGTTTAACCAGACAAGATTAAGGCAGAGGAGAACTTAGTTTACTCCAGGTGGGTCCACAGTTGAAGAGTTGCAGTTAGGGCTGCAGCTGTAGCTCTGTTGATACGCTTGCCGAACACGCATGAAGCCCTGGCTGGACTCAATCCCAAGCTCCACATAGATTGGATGGGAGACGGTCATGTCTGTGATCTCAGCACTCTGGTAGAGAGGTAGGAGGATCAGAAACACAAGGCCATCGTTGGCTACCGGCTTTGGCTATGGGAGACCATGGTTGGAGGAAGCAGTAGAGGAAGAGAATGATGATGAGGAGGAGGTAGGAGATTCTTAGATAAGAATAAGGAATCTCAGAGTCCATTTCAGACTTCTCTTTCACAGAATCGAAAGCCACAATCTGGCGGGATTCCTAGGGGATAGCAAACACTGAAATGTGGAGGCTGGAGATGAAGCTTTGTCTGAGGAGCATCAGCTTAGTGTGCACGAGACACTGTGTAAACCAGGTGTGGTAGTGCATGCCTATGATCCTAACACGGGGGAGGTTGAGGCAGGATGAGTTCAGGGCTGGTCTTAGCTTCAGAGAGTTCAAGGCCAGCCTAGGCAACGAGAATCCCTGTCTTGTTGGGCAGTGGTGGCACACGCCTTTAATCCCAGCACTCGGGAGGCAGAAGCAGATGGATCTCTATGAGTTTTAAAGTCAGCCTGGTCTACAGAGTGAGCTATAGGACAGCCAAGGATACACAGAGAAACCCTGCCTGGAAAAACAAACCAAACAGAAAGCAAGAGTCCGTGTCTTAAATCAGAACCGCCGAATTCTATGTGTGCCTCTCTCACTCTTTTTGACATTTAGCTCCTTGTTATTTGTCATGGCTCAGGGCCCAGCTCACTGTCCTCACACCCTTCTCTGATTTCCTTCCTCCCCAGAGATATGTCACCCTCTACTGGCCTCCACAGGCACCGGGCATGCACGCGCACAGGTAAAACACTTCGTACACATAAATAAAAGTAAATAAAATCTATTTTTTTAAATGCAACTTGCTGGGCAGGGCCACACAGAGTTCGAGACCAGACAGGGCTACATGGACAGACTCTTGTCTCCAAAAACAAACCAACCAAACCACAGAAAGCTCGTGAAAAAGTTAAACGTTAGGGGACCCAGAGATGTGTGAGAGAGAACAGCACAGATGACGCCTTAGGAGTCTAGAGCTGCAGCCAAAGGGACAGGAGTGGTCTCCATGCTGAACCTGCAGGTGAGCCCTACTCCTTGGTCTCAAAGACCCAGAATGGCAGGGCTGAGCCCATCCCCCTCTCACTCTAGGTGCCCATGCTGCTTCCGCAGGGCCTTGCTATCCTGTCATTTATTTTCAGGTCTTTATATGAAAATTAAAACCCCATGTTTATTTCAGATGTCACATTCACAGCAGGCCCAGTTTCTAGACGAAAACATCTAATTCGGGGGTGGGAAAAAAGACAGTTCTGTGTTTTCTGGCACAGCTGATACTAGGGACATGTGGGGCAGAGAGAGAGAACAAACCCTTCTTGCATTCTGAGCTGCAGGCCTCCCCTGCTCAGCGGTGTGGTTCCCACGGCACAAAGGTGCCTGGAGGTGAGGGCCTGAAACCCAGTGACGGCTCTGCTCACTCGACAACCCTACCCAGAGAAGGCCTCGGCCGCAGAAAGCACCTTTCCTCAGAGGACCCCACCAAGCTTCCAGGGATACATTAGCCCAGGGCAGGCTCTTGAGTGTGCAGGAAGATTCCAATTTGTTAATGGTGGTCCACCAGTCGGAGTACTTGAGAGGAATCAACATGGGTTAAATCATTTTCCTGTACTTCACAAAGACAGTCAAAGCCATGTAATAGAACAAGGTGTGTGTGTGTGTGTGTGTGTGTGTGTACGGGCCGGCCAGTGGGTTCACTTACTGAGGAGTCTTCGGCCATGTAGGAGCATCACGCTAAAGCCAGGAATGCCCCAGAAAACACAATGGCTGGTCCCTGTCATCTCCTAGTGGAAGTTCTCATGCTGGGCAGTATTGGGCTATCATTTACAGGAAGAACCCTCTCCCAGTGGTTTGGTGGCTCGATGTTGTGTGCTGGCACTGGAATGTAAAGAAAGGGAGAAGCCATGTTGCCCTGTTGCGCATATGAACACTCTGGGGGAATGTTCTAGGCTCAGCTCCTCAGATGTCTTGGCTGACTTGGAAAGTGTCTTCCATGTCTCAGCCCTCCCAATGGCACTGACTAGTCTTGCTGCACAGTGCCCCCTTTTCTTTTTGTGAGGCAGGCTCTCGAGTGAACGATATTCCCTAGCCTCCTGCTTCAGCCTCCGGCTGCACTGGGACTTCGGGCCTGAGCCACCACGCTGGGCTCTGCCACGCCCATCCTATTATTGTAAACATCTTTTTATTTTTTTAGGAGTGAAGAGGAGCCTCACCATGTGACTCCAGCTGTTCTGGAATTCCCTCTGTAGACAGGCTGGCCTCACACCAAGTCCCTTCCTGTTATGTTATCTGGATTTCCAAGCATATCCCCCTCCTGCTCCTCCCTTTTTTCTGAGACAGTCATGCTGGCTTGGAATTCACTGAGGAGCAGGCCAGTCTTCAATATGTAACCTTTTCAAGTGGGACCTCGTGAAATTAAGAAGCGTCTGACCACACAGTTAAATGAAGAGACAAGCCACAGAATGGAAAGGAATATTTGCTAAGTAGTCATCTTTCGCAGGTCTGATATCTAGAACACAGAGGGAGGACTGGAGAGGTCAGTGGTGAGGAGAACTTGCTCCCCCAGCACCCTCATCCTGTGGCTCATAACCACCCGTGAATCCCAGTTCCAGGGAATCTGACGTCTCTGGTCTCCACAGGCACCCACACTCGTGTGCAGGGACACAGACACGGGAACACACACACACACACAGACACACATACACACACACACACACTTAAAAAAGAGAAAAAAAATAACTCTGGGGGTGTCAGTGAGGAGGCCTAGGTAATCTATTGAGCCTTGGGCAGTAGATCAGTACCCATCCCGAGTATACACATGGACTTTGGGCTCCCATCCAACAAAGTGAGATGCACTCTCACCCTGAATTCTTGGGGGAGGGTCTAGGCCCAGCCCTGGATGAAATGACAGACTGTGGACACCCCCATGGAGGGCCTCACCCTCCTCCCTGGGGAAATGAGGGGATAATGGGGGGGGGTTGGGGGCAGGACACGGGAGGAGGGGAGGGAAAGGGAGAGGGACCTGGAACTGACTTGTGAAGCAACCTTGTTTCTAATCTAAATTTAAACTTTAAAAAAAAACAAGAACTCAAACATAGTTACTAAAAGAGCAAGTAAAATAAGCAGACAGTCCTCAAAAGATGTAGTACAGAGCTTGGAGATTGCTTGGTCAGTAACGTGCCCGCCCTGCAAACATGGGGGCCTGAGCTCCATCCCCAGAACCTATCTAACAATCCCAGGGCTGGGCGGTTGCTTGTCATCCCATTGCTGGGAAGACACAGACAGAGGATCCTGGAACTCACTGGCTAACCTAATCAGGCCCTGCCTTCCCATATCAATCACCAATTAAGAAAATGTCCTACGGGCTTGTCTGCCTACAGCCTGATCTTACGGCGGCAGTATTTTCTTTTCTTTCTCCCTCCCCGCTTGCTTTTGCGAGACAGATTTTTCTCTGTGTAGTCTTGGCTGTGCTGGAACTTGCTCCATAGACCAGGCTGGCCCGAAATCAGAGATCTGCCTGCTTCTGCCTCCTGAGTGCTGGGATTAAAGGTGTGTGCCACCACCAACTAACCTATATCTAATAAAAATAGTTGGTTTTAGAAACAGAATATGTAGCTGGGCGTTGGTGGCGCACACCTTTAATCCCAGCACTCGGGAGGCAGAGGCAGGCGGATCTCTGTGAGTTCGAGGCCAGCCTGGTCTATAGAGCTGTTCCAGGATAGCCTCCAAAACAATACAGAGAAATTCTGTCTCGAAAAAAAAAACCCCAGAATACACACACACACACACACACACACACACACACACACACACACACACACACACATATATATATATATATAGTTTATAGGAAATACTTTCTTCCAAACAGAAAACATGGTCCTGCAAAGCACCCCTTTGCTGTATTTTCCCCCATTTTCTCTTTCTTGAGTGGCAACTGTGGAACAGGAAACCAGTTACTCTCAGAGGTTACTGGAGCCAGGAAGAGAGCTCAGCTGGTAAAGGCATCTGTCACCAAACCTGAGGATCTTGAGTGTGAGCCCTGGATTCACACAAAACAATACAATGAGTGATGCGTGAGGCAGGCTGATATCCAAGATACAGGCCTGCTCTTGCTCTGCCTTAATCACAAGCAGCAATAGAACGATCTGCAGAGTTATTTAGCAATAATAGAGGGGCATGGGGTATGTATTATTTATCCATAGGGAAGCACTTCAGTTCATCCATTAGGTCCCTCGTGGATTTGTGTTCTCCAGTGTGCCTTGAGGCCTTGTAGTCATCACAGAGATTGCCCAGAAGGTGAAGAGTTAGTTGAAACCCAACTGAAGAGCATCTTCATTTTGTTTTGTCCGGCGAAGCACAGATTGATCTTACCAGCTGAAGTTGGCCTAGAAAGCACATTTGTAACGAGACTGTTCTTACTCTGCAAGGACCCCTTGTATAACTATGGCTAAGATGGCAGTAGAAGCTGGTCGTGGTGGCGCACACCTTTAATCCCAGCACAGAGGCAAGAGGGTTTCTGTGAGTTCAAGTCAGGGAAAAAAAAAAGTCAGCATGAGCATTGAGCATCTATCGCCACCTTGTGGTGGCCTGTTCTCAATCCAGGTATTTGCAAAGGCTCCAAAACAAAGCTGTGTTCTGAGCCGTTTGGAACATTTGGACACAATCCTCATGTGGGAGGTTGTAGGCAGAAGGCTAGAAATATTAGAAATAACTAGAATTTGACTGAACGTCACACTGTTTATACTTTGCAGCATGGGCAAAGCCCTCTGGTGTGGATGGTCTCATTTAACCCTGATGGCAGCCCTAGAGACCTTGGACTTGAACACATGACAGCTAGGTCCAGGGACATGGCTAATTACATGGACCAAGTCCTCTACTTGCTCCTGGATGGTCAAACTCAGACCTGTAAACACTGTGTTAATGCTAATGTGTGCAATTCTGTTTAACCACAGCATATAGCATTAAATCATATGTGCACCTGTTACGTGGTATATTTTACACTAGCACCTCCAACGCTACTAGTACTCTACACACACCCCACCTTCTGTGGTGGTGTTGAGCAGAGTTCACGAGGTCTCTGGGGCTGTGGTTTGTGTGTGCAGTGGCAATGCTGTACTGGTTGGCTCTTCGGGGAGACAGCTCAGTGCTAGGGTACTTACTGCCAAGCCTTGTGACCTGAGTTCAGTTCCTGGGACCCACATGGTGGGAGGTGAGAACCCATTCCAGCAACATGCCCACTTGCCTCCACTTCGTGGCATATGCACACCCACCCACATGTATGCACAGAGATAAATAGGCCTTGCCCACTCACATCAAAGCCTCGCTTTTAAAAAATGATTGAGTGTGCGGGAGTCACGTGTAAGTACCATGGCACAGGCGTGGAGGCCGGAGACAGGCTTTTGGTGGTGGTCTCTCTCCTTCCACCTCATGGAGGCAGCCGGAGCTTTCTGGCTCCTGCCAGGCTGTTTATTCCACACTAGCCCGCCTGAGCGTTTCCCGGTGATTCTCCTCCTACCTCCGTTTATGTGTGCCGGGATTAGAGTGATGCACCACCACACCGGCTTTTAACTTGGGCTCTAGGGATGGGACTTGGTTGGGCTTGTGTGGCAAGCCTTTTTATCCACTGGGCCATCTCGCCAGCCTCTTCACTGCCGGGCAATCACCAGTACTCAGGGATTCGCCTCTCCTGTCAGCCACCTCCGCCGGACCAGATACCAGTTTAGTCCCCCGGGATTACGTCCACACTGACACTAGCTGGAATGAGAGTGGCTCTTGTGTTCATTTGTTGGTGAAGTGGTCGGAGGGGCCACGAGGAGGGAGGGGCATGCATGGGCGCTCAGGGGCAAAGGCCTGGGGGTTTCTCTCCAGTGAGAAAGCCGTGGCTCCTCTCTAAGAAGCCGCGTTTGTAACTGATCTGGTTTGTAAGAAACACAAGGCCTTTAGTGAGGTTATCTTATTCTTGAACTCAGCTCCCTTCGTTCTTGTTTCCTTACTTTTAGGTCTTACTTCAGAAGTGTATTTCACGTATATAGTTTTGCTTGTGTGTTTGTCTGTGTACCGCATGCATGCTTGGTCAGAAGATGTAGGACCCCCTGGGACTGGAGTTACAGCTGGGAGCCATCATGTGGGTGCTGGCATCAAACCTGGGTCACCTGTCACAGAGCCCTCTCTTGACTTCCCAATCTGCCTACTTTCCAGTTATCTTCAAGTGAAGGAGCATTCTAGTCAGAAAGGGGAAACTGTGGCATTGGGAGTCAGAATGGCGGTCACCCTGGGTGGGGGACCAGGGACCAGAAGGAACTTTTGGGATTATTGGAATACTGATCAATCATTTCTTCAGCTTGTCACACTGGTGCCCACTGTGGTGTCCTCAACTCAGGTCTTGCTTTATATAGCTCTTTGAGGTCTTTCCCCTTTAATCCTCATGCTTGAGGTTACATTTTACTTGGGGAATCTAATCTGAGGTTCAAAAAGTGAAGGAATTAGGCCAGAATTCCCAGGTCAATTTTCCCATCACACTATGCCTTTTCCCACTTCCTATTTAATGCTGTCTTCACCAGGCTCAGTCACTGAATCTGAGCTAGTGGGTACATGTAGAAGGGAAGGACTTCCTGGAAGAGGCCTTGAGCAGCATCCTGGGCTAAACCAGCATGGGATGCCTTTGGTGGAGGCTAGGGACTGAATTGAGACTCCAGACCCTCCTGGCTCCACCCTCTGAGACCTATGCAATTTCTTGTGGGCCTTTCTCCTTCACAAGCCGATTTCAAGAAACACCGCTGCAAAAGACAAAATCCTCTATCTCATCAGTTTTGTTTTTACTTGCAATGGCCACTTTCGAGCCTCCAAAGGAGAGACTACGTAGAGCAACTGACGAGCGGGAGAGAAGGGCTCCTCCTAAACTGAAACAGATGGCCCTGGAAGTCAGCCGGCAAGCCCAACTGAGCTGAGTCAGCCCTTCCTCCCTCCAGGGCTGGGGGATTTATTCTGACAGGGCAGAACCACAGCGAATATTGCCCAGCCCCATCTCCACCAGCGCTGCCCCTCTCCAAGGTAGGGTTGGGGTGGAAAGGCCCTCATGGGCTGCACATGCAGGCAAGCCATGTGCTCACCAACCACTTTCTGCAAGCAAACCTGGGAAAGGCTTGCAAGGCCAGTTTTTACGTACATATGGGAAGAACTTCAATTCTGTGTCATATGGCAAAAGTCGCGTATGACAATGCCCAGAAGGCCAATTTAGGGAACTCCCCATGGTCTACAACAAAATTAGCCCTGGGCCTCAGCATTCCTCCTTGGCCACTGTTCCCCAGCAGGTAAATGGACACACTCCAGTGCCTCCTCACAGCTAAAATCCAAACTCTGGGCAGATGCGGGGAGGGGTGGGATAGGTGTGGCCCTCCCCTCCCCTTCTCAGGGCAACTGGACAATTATAGAGGGCATCCTCAATTAGGCAGAAAGGGATGGCTTAGCAGACAAAGACACTTGCTACCAGGCTGGGGGATCTGTTTTTTTCTTCTTTTTCTTTTTCTTTTGTGTGTGTGTGTGTGTGTGTTTAAATTCCTTTTTTAAGGATTGGGGATTAGCTCAATGGTAGATCAGTATGACAACAAAATACTAAATATCTCAGCTGGGCATGGTGGTGCATGCTTTTAACCTCAGCAGAGGCCAGTCAGGGCTGCATAGAGAGACCCAGGTTCAAAAGTAACAAAACAATTGTTTTAGATTTATCAATGTTATCAATGTATAGGAATGTTTTGCCTGCATATATGTATGTGTAGCATATGAATCCCTGGTGCCAGAGAAAGGGAGATGATAGTGGTGAATGCCCTGGAAATGGAGTTACAGATGGTTAGGAGCGCACGCGCGTGCTCACTCACACACACACACACACACACACACACACACACACACACACACACAGAAAATAATCATCACCATGAAGAAAGCCATGACAGAGGACAGCAGTGTTTAGAACAATGGTTAAGAGCATTGGTTGCTTTTCCAGAGGACCTAGGTTTGATTCCCAGCACCCACACAGTGGCTCAAGACACAACAGCCTGTAACTCCAGTCCCAGGGGATCTGATACCCTCTGGCCTCCATGGGAACCAGGCACGAAATGTAGAATACAGACATACCTGCAGACAAAACGCCTATGAAGTAAACACAAATTTAAACATTTACTATTTAAAGGGCCTAGTGCTTAAGCATAAAGGCACAAGGACTTGAGGTCCTACTTCCACCATCCATATAAAAAAGCTGGGCACGGGCACATGACCCTGTAACACCAACGCTGGGAGGTGGAGACTGTGGACTGTGGATCCTGAGAGCTCAGTGACTAGCCAGTCAGATGACAAGCTCTGGGTTCAGCAAGTGACCATCTCCAGGATATAAGGTAGAGACTGAAAGAGGAAGATACCCACACCCACACACACATTAAACATACATACACAATCACACAATACATACATACATCACACACATATATATACATCTCTCTCTCACATTCACTCCCCCCCAAAAAAAACCTAGTAAGTTGCTGACTTATATTTTTCTTTTTGGAGGGTGGTGGTGGAGATAGGGCTTCTCTGTGTTGCCCTGGCTGTCCTGGAACTCACTCTGTAGACCAGGCTGGCTTTGAACTTAGAGATCCATCTACCAGGATTAAAGGCATATGCCACCACTAGTTGGTGGCCTGTGTTTCTTTAAATGCCATTACATTTTGGTTTAGGATTAGGACAGAATTTCCAACAGTTCCTGAAAGAGCCATAAACATACTCCTCTATTTTGCACTACGCATATTTATGTAGTGTTTTCAGCATTGATGGTCACAAGAAAATATCAATCAACTATGGAAAAACTGAAGATGCTCGACATCTTATTGTGTCAAGTATTCAACCAAGATTTAATCCTTGGCTTTTTGTTTAGGAGTTGGAGTCTCTTGTAGCCCAGCCTGGCCTCAATTGTACATACCCTTAGTCCCAGCACTCAGGAGACAGAGGGAGGTGGATCTCTGAGTTGAGGGCAGCCTGGTCTACAGAGCAAGTTCCAGGACAGTCAGGACTACATAGAGAGAGATGCTGTCTATAATATATATATATAGCAGCTGGGCGGTGACGGTGCACACCTTTAATCACAGCACTTAGTGACACTATCCTATATCTCAGCCTCTTTTTTTTTTTTTTTTTGGTTTTTCGAGACAGGGTTTCTCTGTGGCTTTGGAGGCTGTCCTGGAACTCGCTTGGTAGTCCAGGCTGGTCTCGAACTCACAGAGATCCGCCTGACTCTGCCTCCTGAGTGCTGGGATTAAAGGCGTGCGCCACCAACGCCCGGCCTATCTCAGCCTCTTTATTAGCATCTTTACCTGCCATCTCTCAATCCACACCAACTGGATCCAACTGAAGCCCCAAAAAGACAGGTTACAACAGATTGGCGCCACAACGTGGGCCTACTACAGATGGGTACAACAGAGGAGGCAGAAACAGGTACATCTGTCAGTTTGAGGCCAGTCTGGTCTACAGATGGAGTTCTAGGACAGTCAAGGCTACACAGAAAAAACCCATCTAACAACAACAACAACAAAAAGAAAACCAATCTTTTAAAAAGTATTTATTAACTGTGTGTTTACATATGGGTGCACACGTGTCACAGTGCTCTCACGGAGGTCAGAGAACAATCTATGGGAACCAGTTCTCTCCTGCCACAATGTGGGCGGGCTCCATGTCTTGAACTGGGTCAGCAGGCTTGCCGGCAGCTGCCTCTATCTGCTGAGCCACACCACTTTCCATGTGTTTATTCTTTGTGTATTTACATGTATGATGTGTGCACAGACATTTTGTATGAGTACCGGGGCACTGTGTGAGGTAGACAACCTCTGGTATTGAACCTGCTACTTTGTACCGACTTATTTCTGCTTTTTGTGGTTGCATACACCTGGCTAGCTGCCACTCAAACTTCTGGGAAATTTTGTTCCCACCTCATTTCTGGAATTACTGATGAATGCCACCATGCCCTGTTTCATGAAGATTCTTGTGAAGATTCCAAAGAGGTCCTCACTTGTCTAACAAGCACCTGCTGTCTCCTTAGCCCCAACACTTAGCTCTCTCTGCCTTCATCTCCAAGCTGCCATGTGGGTACTGGGATTATAGGTGTGTGCCATCAAACATGGTTAATTCATCGATGGGGATGTGACCCAGGGTTTCATGCAGCTAGGCAAACATTCTACCAACTGAGCACAGTCAGTTCCAACACAAGATTTAATTCTTTTGTTCTTGGTTTGTTTTTCCCGAGACAGGGTTCTGTAGTCCTGGAACTCTCTTTGTAGACCAGGCTGGCCTCCAAATCATAGAAACATGCCTCCTGAGTGCTGGGATTAAAAGGTGTATGCCACTATGCCCTGCTTAAGATTTAATATTTTACATAAAAATAAACACACCCACTTGATTAGTATGCAAATTTGCTTTTGTCTTTAATAAATGGTAGGATCAAAGAATTGTCTTGATTTATTTATTATCAAATGCTTGATTTGCACATCTAATTTTTGTATCTACACGCTTGATTCCCTGCTTTCCTTTGTGGAGACTGAGATTTGAACAATGCAGCTAAACCACAAAACTTGACTTTCAGGACTGACCTACAATCTTGTTTTTCTGTGTGCAAATACACTCACTGTTCATTCACTCATTTATGCACATGTAGCAGTCAGAGAACAATTCTTAGGCATTGGTTCTCACCCTCTACCTTTCTAAGGCCAGGTCTCGTTTTGTTTTTTGTTTTTTTTTTATCTGCCAAACTGTGTACTCCAGGCTGGCTGGTCCTGGAGCTTCCAGATGATTCTTATCTCTGCTTTTCTTGAGGTAGGAGTGCTGGGATTACAGATTCAAATTGCCAAACCTGGATGTTTTCTTTTTTAATCTGGGTGTTTTGCCTGCATGTGTGTCTATGTACCACCTGAAAAGACCAGAAAGGGTATGCCATGCCCACGGATCCCTGGGACTAGAGTTACAGATGGCTGTGAGCTGCCACGTGGGTGCTGGCAATGGATCCAGGTCTCCTGCAAGAGCAGCCAACACTCTGGACCCCTGAGCCATCTCTCCAGCACCCCGTCTTTTTTCCTAGACACAGACCCCTGGGGTGACACTTGAGTGGTCAGGCTTGCACAGCCTGCTGAGCAGTCCCCTCACTTCTTAATACAAAACTTACAAATGTAATTTTAAAAATTCAGGATATAAAAATATATGAAGTAGTTTAACACTCCTTTCTTCAAAGTGAAGCAGAGTCAATGGTAGGGTCTAAGTCCTTTGGAGGCTTCCGGAACTTGCCCTGAAGGAAAACTCGTGGCACACAAAGGCCTTCTTTTTTGTTCACTGTTTCTCGAAACACATATTCGTTTGACACTTCTTCATAGCCCGCATCCACAAAGAGCTTCGCCAGGAATTCTGGAAGGCAAGCAGCAGTGAGCTCTGAGGGGTGAGAACTGAGATGGGCTGCAGGGCTTTTTCCCCCCCTTAATGAAAGTTCAATGCTAAATTTTATTTGTTTCTTTTCTTCTTTGATTCCCCCTCTACCCCCAAGACAGGATTTTACATGTTTGGCTGGCCTGAAATTTTTAATGCTTTTGTTTCAGCCTCTCCAGTGTTGGGTAAACATGTCAGGCTAGCACGCCAGGCTTTCGTTCTTTCCTTTCCTTTCCCTTCCTTCCTTCCTTCCTTCCTTCCTTCCTTCCTTCCTTCCTTCCTTCCTTCCTTTTCTTAAAAAACACATTCCTACTTCTCATGGTCTTAAGACCCAAACAGAAACCTCCAATTAAAGCATCAACAAAGGCATACCTAACTTGGCTTGTTCATGTGTTAGTAAATACAAATTATGACTAGAAAGAAACAACTCAGCTTACAGAAAGGAAGGATATCTGTGACTACAACAGGGGAATCACCAGGTGGTGTGAGAGCCTGAGGATAACTTCACCCCAGCAAAACATCTCGCAGATACGATGGATCCAACAAGCAGAATCAAGAGGACAGACGACTCCTGCTCAGGGCGTCACTGCGGAGGCCACGCTCGGGAGCTCTACGCAGATACCCGGGGCTTCCTAATCACTTCTAAAGGGTTAACCAGATGTGGCCAATCAGAGCCCTTGGTCAGCTTCATTTTCACCCGACACTGTATATTTTAGTGCACACACTCATTTTTTAGTTTATATACCTATGAGGCAAAGACAGAAGTGCTGTAAGGTTAAGGACAGTCTGGGTTATAGACTGAGATTTTGTTTCAAAAAACTAAAAATTATGGGGCTAGAGAGATGGTTCAGCAGTTAAGAACACCTGTTTTTCTTGCAGAAGATGCAGGTTCACAACTATCCATAACTTCAGTCCCAGGGATCTGACAATCTCTTCTGACCTCCACACACACCAGGCATGTACATGGTGCACATACTCCCAATGCAGGCAAAACATATACATATAAAATACAATAAAACCCCCCTAAAAACAAACAAACAAACCTAACCCTAAAACCAAAAAGCAGTCAGGCGTTGATGGCACATGCCTTTAGTCCCAGCACTCGGGACACAGAGACAAATGGATCTCAGTGAGTTTGAAGCCAGCCTGGTCTACTGAATGAGTTCCAGGACAGGCTCCAAAGTTACAGAGAAACCCTGTCTGGAAAAACAAAAGCAAAAATCCAAACCCAAACCAAAAAGTAAAAGAACTAGGGACACAGCTTAGCAGTGGAACACTCGCCTAGCATGCTTGAAGCTCGGAGTATAAGCCTTAACAGCACAAAACAACGAACTAATTCCTCCAAACCCACACAGCTAGAAAAAGGTAAAGGATCCTTTTCTCCAGATTACTAGGCAGACTTAAACCAATGTTTTTAAGTTTCACTTAAAAACTGAAATGATGTTCAGTATTTTCTGATCCAAAATGCCCTTTAAAGTATTTTCTATTATTATCTTGGATGTGGGATGTTATGTGTTCATGCGTGCATCTGTGTGCAACAGAATCAATGTTTCTTCTATTACACTCCCCACTTTAAAAAAGTGTTTTTATGTTCATCGATCTTTTGTCTGTATGTTCACTACACGCATGTCTGGTGCCCACAGCAGTCCAAAGAGCCTCTGGAAATGAAGCTACAGACTTCATTTGTAGCCATGTGGCTGCTGGGATTCAAACCCAAGCCCTCTGGAAGAACAAACAGTGCTGTTAATCAGAGAACCATCTCTCCAGCCCTCCCTCTACCTTACCTTTTCTTTCCCTCCTGAGACAGGGCCTCTCTTTCATAGCCCTGGCTGTCCTTGTCTACCTATTTCTTGAGACAAGATTTCTCACCAACCTGGCATTGCTAACAACACTAGCTGACCAGTAGCTCCAGGGATCTTTAGTGTCTGCCTTCCCAGCATCAGGGCTACAGGGACGAGGCACCACACCTGGCTTTGCACATGGGTGCTGCAGCAAACCCTCTACTGAGCCACCCTTCCAGCTATAACCATGTATGTATGTATGTATGTATGCATGTATGTATGCATGTATGCATGTATGTATGTTTTTGGAGACAGGGTTTCTCTGTATTGTTTTGGAGGCTGTCCTGGAACTCCCTCTGTAGACCAGGTTGGCCTTGAACTCACAGAGATCCGCCTGCCTCTCCCTCCCGAGTGCTGGGATTAAAGGCGAGCGCCACCAACGCCCTGCTATAATCATTTATTGAGACAGGGTCTCAAGTAGCCCAGGAACTGCTGAGGGACAGAATGACCTTGAACTATTGTCTATTTTCTATGTTTGAGTGTTTTGCCTGCATGAAATATGTGCACCATGTACATACCTGCTGCCCACTGGGTCAGAGGAGGTGTTTGATCTCCATTCCTGGGAACTAGAGAGAGGTACAGATGGAAGCCACTGTGTGGGCGTGGGAACTGAACCGGCTCTCAGGAAGTACAACAAATGCTCTGAACTGCTGAACCATTTTCCCAGCTGGATCTTTAACTCTTGATCATGCTGCGTCTGCCTCTGGATTGCTGAGGTCTAAGTCCTGTGTGCGACCATACCAGTTTATGCAGTGCTGGGGACTGAACCCAGAATCTAACCCATGCTAGGCCAGCACTCTATCAACTAAGCTACATTCCCTGTATTCTTGTGTAGCAAACTAGTCTATCTGAAAACAGACCTAATCACTTTTATTCAAGAAGGATTTGCCTTTGGTCTGGGAAAGTACACTCTGTCACCACGCTGAGCTTACTGGCAACACAAGACATGCCAGAGGCCTGTCTACTCTCCCAGGCTCACTCACTAGCCACCATCAGCAGAGACCTTCAGGTTCTCCTATAGACAGATGCTTCTGTCCCACCTGGTTCTGTAGCTGTTCAGATCCAAATAAACACACAGAGGCTGATACTAATTATAAGCTGACTGGCCTATTGCTCAGGCTTATTACTAACAAACTCTTACAACTTAAATTAACCCATAATTCTTATCTGTGTTTAGCCATGTGGCTTGCTACCTTTTCTCAGTATGGCATTCTCATCTTGCTTCCTCTGCATCTGACTGGCAACTGCTTCTCTGCCTTTCCTCTTCCCAGAAATCTTCTAGTCTGTAGCCCCGACTATACTTCCTACCTGACTACTGCCAATCAGCACTTTATTAAACCAAGGAGTGACAAACCTTGGCAGTGAACGAGGGCATTATCCCACATCACTCCCCACAGGCCAGACCTGGGTCTGTGACTCAGCAGGTACTGGGAAGTGGGGCATATCAAGGTTTGTTCTAAGGGTTTGGGACTTTTGCTAGCATGGCCACACAGCTGCCCAAGCAGCGCTCCACTGATGATGCAGTCAAGTAAACAGAGACAAAATGAAACACCAAGGAGATACTCCATTCCTCTTACCATCAGTGAAAAAATAGGATCTGGTTCCATCTTGTCTGACATAAAAATTTTCTCCAAGTTTGCTCCCAGCTTTAAATCTAAGCATGGCATGATCGTGCAGCCCATAGTCACGGAACAAGACACTTCTGCCTGGTTTTAATACCTGCAAAAAAGGAAAGAAGATTGCATATAACTCAGAGGAATGCAGTCACATAAAATACAATTGTGATAGTTATGAAAGCAGGCGTGGAAGATACCTTTATATGAATGGCTGCTTTTAAAAAACATGTCAGGTGTAGTGGTACACACCTGTAAACCCCAGCACCCATGAGGCTGAGGCACGAGTATCATTCTGAGTTTGAAGGCAGCCTGATCTACATAATAAGTACCTGGGTACCTGGCACACCAGGGCTACATAGCAAGAGGACCCCGTCTCCAAAAACCCAAAATAAAATGCTGCACAAGTTATTTTTTGGGCCGGGCGTTGGTGGCGCACGCCTTTAATCCCAGCACTCGGGAGGCAGAGGCAGGTGGATCACTGTGAGTTCGAGACCAGCCTGGTCTACCAAGTGAGTTCCAGGACAGCCTCCAAAGCCACAGGGAAACCCTGTCTGGAAAAACCAAAAAAAAAAAGCTATTTTTTGGTTGCAATGGATCACAGAGTTTCAAACCCCACATAAGAGTAAGCACACAAGACATACTCTGCCTTCCATAGGCATGAGCCACCTCCTTCATTACTATTCCCAGCTCTCTGTTTCTGACAACTTGGCTCTGAAGGGCTCCTGATCCCCTGCCTCAAGTGCTGGGTTCTGGCCTGACCCTCGGCTCTTTGGATCAGGAAGTCCGCACCATGTGAGAAGAATAAGGAAAGGCATCCTTCCCTCTGAGCCCGCCTTCTATCTGTGCTGTAGACAGTATGCACACACCTACTCTACACCCCACGCAAGTCCCACAGACAGGTGTTCCACAGACCCACACCATCTCATCAAGCACAGCACACTTGTTTTAAATGACAGACGCCACAGGTTTTGTCTCCTTTGGAAAAGCGTGTGCTGATGCACTTGCATAATCCTATCCTCCCCCAACCCTCTTTCTATTTTTTTTTTTTTTGAGAGAGGGTCTTGTTATATACATAGCCTTGGCTGGCTTGGTAATTATTTACTATGTGGCCCAGGCTGATCTTGAACTTATAGAAATTCTCCTGCCTTAGTGTCCTGGGTGCTGTGACTACAGGTGTTTGTCACCACACCAATGGTACACAGAAAATCATTTGAAAATGACTACAGTGTCTACATGAATGCTCCACTGCAGCTCTCCAAAGCAGTGACATCACTCACTGACATCCTCAGCCTTAGAACCAAGAGGAAACAGGCTCAGAGATAGGTGCCATAGTCTGTCCTGAATCATGTGACTTCAAGCTTTTTTTTGTAACCCAGGCTAGCTCCAAATTTTCTCTATCGATGAGAATGATCTTGAACTCTTGACCCTCCTGAGGCTGAAGCTGTATGTCATCATGCTGACTTATTTTCAAAAAGAGTCAAAAATGGTCTTGAGCTGGGCATTGGTGGCGCACGTCTTTAATCCCAGCACTCGGGAGGCAGAGGCAGGTGGATATCTGTGAGTTCGAGGCCAGCCTGGTCTGCAGAGCCGATTCCAGGACAGCCTCCAAAACAATACAGAGAAACCTTGTCTCGAAAAACCAAAAAAAAAAAAAAAAAAAAAAAAAGAATCTAGGCCTTTTGACTGTACTTTGACATTAATCACACGTCCTCTCACCTTACACATCCCAGGTAACTGCTCTGGGGCTGTCCATGCTCTGAAGTGCAGCCATGCACTGCATAAACCCAGCACTGCTTTATGCCAGAGAAGCCGCCCCCCATGCTGGCTACAGTCTACCCACTGGAAATGGGAAGATGCTGGGACCGCAGCACACAAGCCTTACAGAGAAGGAGGCAAGTGAGCCAAGGCGGTCAACCCTCACATACAGACATCAAGTCACCAACCTTGTACACATTTTGTAAGACGAGGTGCATCTTCTCAGGGTGAACAGTTGAGAGCACAAAGATCAGTGTGACGGCGTCCACAGACTCTGGTGGGATATGGTCAAGGAGGTCATCTCTAGTGAGGTCACACTGAAATACTTTGCATCTCTCCGTATTATATAAAGGATTTTGCTAGAAAGGGAAAAAAACAAAGAACTTAATATAACCACCCTGCTGATACAGGTTATGAATATATGCAGCACCGAAGAAAGATCCTGTCTCTACGTGTTTACTGCTACAAAGAATGGTCACTTGTTATCTGATACTGTATAGGAAGCATTTCATCAAACTGTTTTTTGTTTGTTCTGTTTTATTCTTCTGTTTTCCAAGACAGGGTTTCTCTATGTAGCTTTGTAGACCAGGCTAGCCTTGAACTCACAGAGATCTGCCTGTCTCTGCCTCTCGTGCACTGGGATTAAAGGCGTGTGCTGCTACTGCCTGGCTCAGCAAACTGTTTTTAACTGAGGGCAGAGTATAGTCTTGTCACTTATATAAAACTAAGCACTTCAGAGACCTTTTTTTTTC